GGCGGCCGCTGACGGGCCCGGGGCAGCGCCAGGGCTGGCGCCGGTTCAGGCGTCGGTGGGTAAAGGTCGCCCAGCAGCGACAGCCCCAGTTACCCATTGACGACAGTGCCTGTCACCAGTGAAACAGAAACGGCTCCGGCACCATCTCTGTTACTCGTGCCTGGTGAAGGGCTGCTGTCCCGGCTCCCTGGCCCCAGCATGGAAGGCCTGGGTCCTTCTGCTGTCCCGAGAGGCAGGACCCACCTGCCATCTCCACAGGGAGGGCAGGCCCTGCCTGACGAAACTCACTGTCACAGCTGCCCGCCATGCCAGGAGGAGGCTGTCACACACCTCTGCAGCCACCACACCCTGTGCAGAGACAGCTTCCCCGTGGCCTTGCGCAACGCCCAGTGAGGCCATGGGGTAGCAAACTCTGCTTCTGCCCCACTGTGAGCCGTGGGGCCAAGCCAGGAGGTCCCCATTGGTGTGGTGTCATCAGCCAAGTGACAACCAATCTCTTGCTGTCCCAGTGTTGGTGTGAAACCAGTGCAGCAGTGGGTGCAGGGGTCTGCCAGTGTGGCAAGAGGAGACCCCAGGCCTTCCCCTCTGCTGGGGCAGAACGTTGACAGCCCCGTGGCCCCTTGGGCCCTGTCTGCACCAGCCTGTTTGGTCCCCTCCACCCCTTGGGGACAGGTGGCTCGTGCCACTTGCTGGGCTGGTTGGGCTCCCACTGGTGCCAGGGTAAACAGCACTGGCTGAGCCGGCCGGACTGGGGGCTGGCGGAGGGGCCAGAGCAGGAAGGGGAAGGGAGAAGAAGGAGGAGGCCCTGCAGGGAGCTTCGCACTGCCAGAGCCTCCTCTGGGGATGTCATTATGGGCATTAATAGTAGCCTGGCACAAAGACGCTTTCCAGCTGCTGGCAGTGCTCCCATGGGGTCGGGCCCTCCCCAGTGGCAGCCCCCGGTCTCGCACCAGCCTGCAACACTTGCACCAGCTGGGTGAGGAGGGTTCTGCACGCCTGGCCGGTGCAGAGCGTGGCAGAAACCAAGCAGCTTGCAGCTCCTGCTGCTCACTCTGCACGGGACAGGAGGTCCTCAGCTCCCGCTGAGCTCCTCTGCCGCGTGGCAGGAGCTTTGGGAGGTCAGGAGGGCTCTGGCATCCCCCTGACCCTCCTGCCCTCTTGCAGCTTGAGCTTCTGCGAAGCGGCTGGTGGGCCCACTCCTAGCCCGGCACCATGAACGTCTTTGACCGAAACATCAACTTTGACGCCCTCTTCAAGTTCTCCCACATGTGAGTAACGCCCCGGGGAGGCTGGGCTCGAGTGGGGAGGCTCATGGAGGGCTGCGCCATCCCTTCCTCCCAACCTCACCACCCCCTCCTCGCCTGCAGCTCGGCCTCCACCCAGGAGCACCTGAAGAGGGTTTATGCCAGCTTTGCTCTCTGCATGTTCGTGGCAGCCATGGGGGCCTACATCAACGTGGTGACCCACCTCTTCCAGGTGAGGGGCCCTTGGGGTGTCATGGGTGGCCCCTGGACTCAAATCCCTCTGCCCGTGCTGCCCTGGCAAAGCGATGCCAGGCCCCCACCTGCGTCTCACCCCACAGTTCAGCCTCCTGACTGGCCTGGGCGCCCTGGGACTGATGGCCTGGCTGACGGCCACCCCGCACAGCCGGGAGACGGAGCAGAAGAGGCTGGGGATGCTGGCCGGCTTCGCCTTCCTGACGGGTAGGTGGGGACTGGGGATTCTCCCGAGTCCTGTGGGGTCCTGAGCCCTGGGGAGTGGGGGTACGAGGGCCCCAACACAGCACCGATCGGCTCTGAAATGGCTCCAGTGACACCCTGCTCTGTCCTTCCAGGCACCAACCTGGGGCCCCTCCTGGAAATATGCGTCTCCATCAACCCCAGGTAGAAACAGTTTCCCCGCCCCCCGCCAGCTGCCCCCTGCCACCCACCCGGGCCCCATTCACCCTCTCTCTCCTCTCTCCTAGCATTGTCCCCACCGCATTCCTTGGCACCGCCACCATCTTCGCCTGCTTCTCACTGAGCGCCCTCTACGCCCGGCGCCGCAGCTTCCTCTACCTGGGAGGTGTGTGTGGGGAAACATGGGGGGCTGGGGGCTCCCTGCATGGCACAGGGGGCACCCCATGGGGGACTGGGGCCAGGCCTCACTCCCTACCCTCTCCCTACAGGTTTCCTGCTCTCTGGTCTCACCCTGATGCTTCTCTCCTCTGTGGTTAATGCCTTCGTGGGATCCACTTGGCTCTTCACGGTGAGTCCCCTTCCGTCTGCCAGGACCCCGTGGAGGACAGAGAGACAGATGGACAGATGTCAGCTGGCATCAGTGGCGCCAACACGGGGCTGTCCCTATCTAACATCCCCTCTCCCTCCTGCAGGCCAATCTCTACCTGGGGCTGATGATCATGTGCGGCTTTGTGCTCTTCGACACGCAGCTCATCATCGAGAAGGCGGAGAGCGGGGACAAGGATTACATCTGGTGGGTGCTGGGGCCAGGGGGTTGAGGGGGAGGAAACACGGGCCGGGTCCCCCTGAGCACATCCATCTGTCCCCACAGGCACTGTGTCGATCTCTTTGTCGACTTCGCCAACATCTTCCGGAAGCTCCTGATGATCCTGGGCATGACCGAGGTGGGTGACGGTCCCCCAGGCAGGGCTGGGGGGGACAAACCTGTCCCTTGGCCTGGGGGGAGGATGGGGGCCATGCACCCAGCAGTGACTAGCCGCCTCTCCTCTTGCAGAACAAGAAGAAGGAGAAGAAGTGAAGTGGCTCCAGGCTGAAGTGGAGCTGTCCCTGTCTGGTCCCTGTCCCCACCCTGTCCCCATCCCTTCTCTGATTCATTAAAGGGGTTGCGCTTTGCTGCTGATGAAAAGCAGCCCAGGAGCTTTCGCACCTTGTGGGTTTTTCTCTCGTTTAGCTTTTCTTTATTAGAAACTGGCAGATTTGTGAATCCTGCTGGAGTTCGGCTTCCCCGCCCGGCCCCTCCCCAGCCTGGCTCTGTTCCCCTGAGCCCGTGTCCCTTGGGGTCATCACTGACATGTGAGCTTTCTGTCGAGGTTTCTCCCTCGCCCCACAGGCAACATGTCCCCACTGTACCCTTGCACAGGGAGCTGGGGCCTTACCCCCGACCTCGGCAGCCATGGCCCCCCCCCGTGCCAGCCGTGGGGGTGGTGGGACCCCTTGAAGCCAAACTCAACGGAGGAGCCCCTCCTTTAGCACCAGTGCCAAGAAGTACAATGGAAAAGAAAATGTTGGGTTGGGCGAGCTGTCCAGCCGGGCCGACGCATTTTGATTACGAGCTCCCCCAATCTTGCCGTCGCCTCTCTTTGTACACCGGGACGATTCAATAAAATGCTCAGACTTGAACCTCTCAGCCCTCGCCCTCTCAGCCCTTGCCCTCCCACCCTCCCTCCCTCCCGCGTGCAGGATGTGGCCA